GGCCTGGAAGATCGCAGTCGTTAGGGTTAACCAGCGTAGCCTTAACAACAACTCTTGCGATAAGGGTGACTGTCCGACGTGATATGAACTCTGCTCGAACTTGGTTGCCGCGAACTCTGTTTATCGGCAGTCCCGAACAGCGAGAGTAAGATTGGTAATGAAATCGCCTGTGTATTGGTTGGATCTCTGACGCATTTGGGACAGGCGATAGTGTCTCGGGAAGATGTTTTCTTTTCCATTCCACATGGCTTTGAGCTTCGTAAATGTTTTGTGGTGATCAGCAGACTCTTGCAACTTAAGGGCTTCGAAGCAACGCTGTCTCAGCTCTCCGAGGTGAGTCCGGAGGAGTTTCAAATTAAACGTAACGTTTAGTGTGACAGCAGGCAACCAAATCGGAAGTAGTTCAATGTAATCCTCAAAAGTAATCCTCCATTGTAACCAGGAATTATTTGAAGGTTTCGGAGCGCCTTTCGGCCGAAAGGTGATGGTGTAGGTAATGATGAAGTCATTTTCGTTGAGTTGCGTGGGTAATGCTATGTATTGAAAACGGAAAGCAGTTTATAGGTAGGACGAATATAACGTATGTAAAACAGAAGGCTGCCTGAGGGCAGAATGTCATGTAGGCAAACCAGAGGACCGTCTGTAGGCAGGACGTGCATTGGGAATGAAGGCACAGTTCAAGTCACGAGTCACGTTAACAGAGAGGGATTTAAAGCTGGGTTTAAACGTCAGAAACTGAAAGGTAGCCTGTAGGAACAAAGAGAGGGGTGAACCCGCTGGTCAGGGATGAAGGCTGGCCAGTCAGAACAAGGAACAAGGGTACACATAAAATGTTAGATAACAGCACCAGAAATATACGAGGTTTTGAAGAAATATGTCTCAGAAGGGCTCGTTCCCTTTTGCAGCACACGCAAGGTAAATTTTTTTGACAAGGACGTGGCTGACACAAACATCGATTCAAAAGGGGCAGACCAAGCCCCAGAGCAGGGTAGAAATCAGCCTGAAATTGAGAAGACGGACTCAGGCAACTCGGAACATGATGCAACGACACTACCGGCGACGGCGGCACCAGTGGAAAATCCGAAACGTAGAGACACACATCCCGTACCTCATACAACAGTAAACGACGACAACGCAGGATGGCAAATGCTGAAGACAAAAACCAAACGTGCAGAGCCGCAGGGAGTGTCGAAGGATGCTCAGTCGATCACCAAAGCATCGACTAAACAAAATGATCGAAAGAAGGCACTGCTGTTCTTTAATATGCCAGAATCAGAGGGGGTTCAATGCGGAAACACGTGTTGAGCATGACTCAAAGAAATGAGCAACATCATTCTAAAAATGCTGAACCCAAGCGATGGCCGAGTATCGTGTGGTCACCTCTTCAGACTGGGTGCGAAATCTACAGAAGGCAGACGGCATAGACCACTGAAAGCGGTCTTCAAGTCCGAGTAAACTCCAAAACTACTACTAACCCGCGGCTGGATGCTCCAAGGCAGCAATATCTCGATGCGGGCAGACCTGTCGCCTGAGGATAGAATAAAGCAGCATAAGGCAGTCGCAGAACTGAAACAACGTCGTGCCGCGAAGGAAAATAACCTCCGCATAATCGATTTTCGGGTTGTCCATAAGAGGAGACCCCTGTTCAAACCACTACTGCTGATGGCCCAGGAAGCTCTGATAAAGCTGTAGTCATTCTGCTAATAAATGCGCAAAGTCTACTTAACAAACTGGCTGAACTACAAGTGCTTATCGAGCAGAAGCGCCCTGCGATCGTTGCAGTGACGAAGACTTGGCTATTCGAATTAGTAAAGGATAGTTAGATCGATGTACCTGGGTACCGAGTCTTCCGCTGCGACCGTAGTGATAGGATACACGGGGGTGTCTTGGTATATGCTACTGACGGCCTAGTGATATCAATGCTAGAACGCGCACGCATAGAAGACAACCATGTTGAACAACTCTGGTTGTCGGTCAAGGCCGCAACTAAAACCACGGGTGTAATGTACCGAATTCCTCGAGCTAACGGTATCAGCTGGTTGAATTCAGTCATGAAGTTTGCCAAAAGGTCGCGTGGCTGCATTTTTGGTGACTTTAATTGCCTACATATCAACTGGTCTTGTCTAATTCTAGTAGGCCCTGCCTCTGAGACGGAAATCCCGTTGCTAGAAATGGTAAACGAAGCTCCTATCGTACAACATGCTGCCCAGCCTACGCGGACAGCTGATTCGGGTATGACCTCATGTCTGGACTTGATATTCACAAGTGGCCACAAAAAAAGTATCTGATGTAAGAGTCTCTGTATCCCTTGGCACCAGTGATCATGCTACTGTCTTAGCTGAACTCCACATAACCGGATCGCCGTCAATGCGTTGATGCTACAAGCGGGCATATTGGAAGACTGATTATGACGAAATGAGACAGAGTGCTATGAG